TCGGGCCCCGGGGCAGGCACACCTGGGCCAAGGGTTAGCGAGGAACTAGCTAGGAAGCTTCTGGAGGGGCTGGACGTTTTCAAGTCAGCCGGTCCGGAAGGGTTTAGGTGCATCTCTCACTGCATCTTCATTGCCTTCTGTAAGTCCTTCTTCTGATCTGTTCTGGTTCAGGCAGAGGTGGTGGGGGAAGAGTCTTTCGGGAGTCAGACAGGCTGGGTACTGCTCCAGGGTTCCCCAAGAACACAGAGATGACTGGTAACGCCACGGTGGCCCCTGTTCATTGCGATGGCAGAATTCTGGCTTGGTGGAGGTAGAAGGAAGAGCGAGGTCTCACCAGGCAGAGGGATGGGCTGGTGGTTGGAGGTCAGAGAAAGGGTTACAAAGACGACCGGTGAATAACGGCAGCTAGCTTGCAGAAGAACCGCAGGCTCAGAAACTATCTAACCAAACAGATCTTGGCTTCTTAGTAGGGAAGCCACAGTCCACATTAGGGGCAAAGTCCTCATGATGAGCTGTGTGACTAGCTCTACTCATTACCTGGGCAGCAGGAACTCCCTGAACCAGCACACCAGCTCCTCCAACCAGATGGGGAGGGAGAGTATTTTGCATTTTGCTCCAGCGGAGAGGGAAGGTCACCGTCCTACAGAGCAGCTTCAAGAGCAGCATTTCCTCCTGGATAGGCAGAGAGACACAGCAAAGGTAGTTCCTCTGGCATCCTTGAAACAAGAAACCAAGATTTTGAATATATTTTACAGCTGCAAGAGTGGGATCTGTAAGGAAAAGCAAATCAAAGGACTCTTGATAATATCAGGAGAGTTGCAATACAGATCGTGAATCAGACATGTGGCAGTTATCTAAGGTAAATCCCAGCAAGACAAGGACACACCATCAAAATAAGGTTCTTCATCAAGAAACAGAAAAGAAAATCCTGACACATGCAAAACCATTCTGAGGACTTGGAAATCACGGAGGGCTTGATCTGAGTAATTAGTAAGCCAGGGTTGCATGCCTGGACCTGGAGGAAAACTTAAGGGCACAGTCATTTTTTCCTCATGCTAATAAAAGTTGTACAGCTAAAGTCTGTGCACCAGGCAGTAAGTCCTAAGGACTATCCAGAGCCAGTCAGCCATTGCCTGTAGTGAGGGGATGGTGCAGCGCCCACTGAATTGAACTTTGAAGTGGTGACATTTTAAGTGTAGAAAAACTATTTGCAGTTCTAGTTAGAGGTTTATAGGGCTCCCTCTGAATCTTGTCCAGTTGGATCTCTGGTAACTAAAGGACCTGTTTTTTTTAATAACCCCAATAACTTTCTTTAAACTCTCCAGCAGAGTCCTAAAATAGTTTCTGTAATGTGTGGCATATGCAGAATGCATGGTGGAGTGGTACAAAACATTTTATCACAGTATTTGTTGGGGGCGATCCAAGTATTGCTCTCCATTTCATCATAGTGAATAGTGAGCCCATCCTTTCTCTAGCTTCATGCTAACAAGTCACTTATTCCACTCCACATTTCAACTCTTCCACATAAGATACATATACACAATGCAACTGAGAGCTTCTTTCAGGCTCATGAAGTTAAGCCCCACCTTTCCTTCTTATCAATACTTGGTACGGATCTAGACAAAAGAGGGGGTCTTGCAGGTAGAGGAACATCTCCAGGGGCAGGGGATCAGAGTTCTTTTCATAGGCCTCCCTCATGCTTCATGTATGACCTTGGCCAAGTCAGTTTGCCTTTCATCATCTCCTTCCCCCGTGGTAGAGCATAGCTGCTAACAGCCCATTACAGGAAGTCACTCAGAGGATTCATATGTTAATATTTGTAAGATACTCAAGGGCTATGTTGATGAGGCCCATAGAAATGCCTATAAATAATGAGTAATAGTCTCTGTGCACATCTTTAATTCAATCAAGGCCACTCCTGTTTCATGAACATCTGCTGGAAGCCCAATGTTTGGAATATCCCCGACGCTCCATAAAGACAGATCTCAATTTTGTTTAGAAAAGTCTTGAGAAACAATTGCAACATTACCTTAGGGATGCACGGCTTCAGATCCCATACACACTCCAAGACTCTTTAGATCTGAGGCGTATTTACATTTACAGTCACAAGTAAAACAGTGGACTTTGGCTTCTTTGGGCTCTTGGAAAACTTGTCCTCTTCTTCATTGTTTAAACATGCAGTGAAGTAGAAAATGTCCTTCTTCACGAAACCTGATACAGTTCAACAGCATGAGAGCCTCCTACTTTTGTTCACCATCTATTTGCTTTACTTCTCAAGTAGGGCCAAGTAGGCCAGCAAGACTACTCAGAGAGTAATGCGCTATGTGGAAGCAGAGGTTTAGCTCAGAGTTTGTGAACATCCAAAGAGTAGGAGGCAACATGACATGAAGTTCAGGAAATTGTGATTTTGCTTGTGTTGCAGAGAGAAACACTTTTCAAATGGTAAGAAATGGGTGGACTGTCACCCCTGATGGCTTATAATTAGGGTGACCATATATCCTCATCTGGCTGGGACTGGGTACAGGGCAGGGAGGCAGACCAGCCTGAGCTGTGAAGTAGGAAGCCCTAGCAGACAGCAAAAATTGCCCTAAAACAAGTTAGCTTGATTACTGGAATGACCATTAAAAAGGGGAGATAACTGTTCATACCTGTGAAGTACAGAACAGTGGGTCATTAATGAGCCATTGACTCCCTTAGCTGCCTAGTAAGACCAGAGCTACACTACGTTGCCCTGCCCCTCACCTCTGCCTGCAGCAGCACCTCTAAATCGAGGGGGCAGGGAGCAGCGTTCTGGTTTGCATATTGTCCCATATGGTCACCCTACTTATAATTACACCCTTGCTTTGTCCTCCCCCTTCCTGTAGGATGAGAAAACCAAGAATCAGTGTTATTTGTTAATTTTATATTATCCCTGCATCTGAATGTTTTGTGGGCCTTGCATGAGATTTCAGGGCTTGCCCAATTCATTAGCCATAGAATCCAACAACTGCTTTGTTATACAGAGTGATACTCTGAGAAGGGCGGTAGTGAGAGCACACTGATTATTACAGAGACCTTACTGACCCAGACTGCATTCACTGACTACGGTCTGAAGTCTCTAAAAGGAGGTGGCATGTCAGGTCGTGGGTGGCCAGGTCTGGGTGTCACCCTGGCTAGAAGAAGCAAGAAAGATCCAAGGGAAGTGTGCAGAGTGTGGGTGTAAGGGAGCTAGGAAGCTAGAAGATTTGTTTAGGAGACTGAGTCAGAGATACAGAGGGCTGGGCAGAGCATGGGGTCAGGAGGCCAGACAGGTTGGGTACCTGGGAGATCAAAGCAGGGTCAGTTTTGGCAGGGAGCCAAAGGGTCAGGCGAAACTTAGAGTCCATGGGCAAAGTAGGTTGGGTAGCCAGAGAATCTGTTAGAGAGCCAGTAGAGGCACAAGCTGAGGATGAAGCAGCCTGGCTGGGTACAAGATTGAGCCTTGCTGTCCGGATATGTCCTCTTCTGGGTCAGGGGTTTTTATAAGAAGAGGTTAATGGGTCATCTGACCCTGGCTGGCCACTCTGGTTGCAGGGAGTGGGCAAGTGGCTAGGCCCAGCTATCAGGTTCTGACCACCCCACTATATCCACCCCCCTGCTCAGCTGAGGGGGTGGCAGCCTGGGATGAGCAGGCAGGCTGAGGTCCCAAGTTCAAGGCCATGACCTAACAGGCAGGGTAGATCTGCACCTTTGCATACTAACTAAATAAAACAGAGAGAGAGCACAAGGTTTTGTGAACCCAAGTTCACTTCATTTGAGAACACGAAGGGATGGACATTGGTCCTAGGATGGATTCTGGGAAGAATCAAGCTTACATTGACTAACCTTGATTGTCTCTTTTAGGAAATCAGATGCAAGACAAGAGATGGATTGTGTATGTGTTGGTTTATTTTTAGATTCATGAAATGTGCCTGTCTTGCATTCTCCATGCACGTTTGCATGATCCAGAAGTAAAATTCAAGACAGGTTGGCCAATATAAGCCCTAAATAAAATCCCTAGGGGTATGAGACACAAAGTGTTCTCTTTATCTCATCTGAAATAAGATTGAGAGGAGACTGCAGCGTATGAGGAGGAGGAAATGCCAGGTGATGCAGGGACCTTTAATCTAGCAGCAAAATTGTAAGAGGAACCAGTGCCCGGATGCTGAAGCCAGGTAAGTTCAAACTGGAAAGAAGGCGCTTTTTTTTAATAGCAAAGCTAAAACCAGCTGGATTCTCCACCTCTTGGAGCCTTCACATCAGTTCAGAAGACATTACAGAAAAATGTACTTTAGTTAACTACAAATTATTGGGCTCGGTGTAGGGGTAATGGGGTGATATTTTGTGCTCTGCACTTTATAGGAAGTCCAACTGGATGGTCTCGTGGTCCCTTCTAGCCTTAAACTCTATAAATCCACACCAAATTGCAAAGCTGTTAAGTAGACATGACCCAAACCCCAGATCTTTATAGACCAAGTGTTATAACTTGGGTCTGCCATTTCAACAAGATGCACACACCTTCCAGGGACTTCAGTGCCACGCGCACTACATATATTATATGGCAAAGGAGCAGGGTGCTGGATTGCACCTGAAAGCTTGTCGGGGTGCTCTTCTATCTCTGACTGTGACGTACTTTTGAATGAGGCGGTTTTACCACAGTGATGCTTTCCCTGCAGTCATCCCTCTGAGAGATGCGCTGTCTTCTGACCTCTGGCCAACAGGAACATGAAATAACACAACTGCAAAGCACAAGCCAAACATGTTCAGTAGAGGAAGAAGCCCCCCAAAATGCTAAAAAAAAGGAGTCAGCTTTCCTGCCTATCCTGCTGTAGTGCAGAACAGCAAGCAACTCCCTAGCTTAACTCCCTAAGTGTTCATGCAAGACTAACAAGATTTATCTTCTATCCTGTCTTTCATTGGAACAACTGATAATCAGGAGAGATGTCCATAGGATCATAGGAAAGTAGGGCTAAAAGGGACCTCACAAAGTCATCTAGTCCAGCCCCCGGCTCAAGGCAGCATCATCCCTGACTAAACCATCCCACCCAAGTGCCTGTCTGACCTTCTCTTGAACATTTCCAAGGATGGAGCTTCCACAAATTCTCTAGGTAGCCTGTTCCAATCCTTGACTATTAGACAATGATAGGCAAGTCTCCAGGCACAAAATGCCCTTCCTCAGGTCTGGGAAAGAAGCAGATACAAGCTAAGTGCTTTGCACCATTTGCATTGGTGCAGTCTGCGTGCAAAACATGACCAAATGAGGATGGCAGGTCATATTCACACCTGCACGGCTTGAGTGTCAAAGCTTATGCAAGGTAATCGAGCCTGAAGTCCTCTCTTCAAATATTACTGTCCTCCTTGGGTGAGTCCAGACTCTCAACAAATTAGCCTTAGGTCTGAACAGCTCTGCAATTGACTGTCTAATAGCAAACAAACACCTTATTAGTAAAGACAAACCGAAGTAGCCATCACATAGAGTGAGGCCAGGAGCTTTGCTCAGATTGATGCCTAATAATTGTTCTGTGATGCTGTTTTGAGATAGCAGATGAGCCAAGTAGCTTTATATGCTGTGGTCTTCCGAGTGATTATTTAGTGAAGGTCTTATGCAAATTATATGTGTCATGGCACTGCTATCAATAGCCACGCGGGTGTTTCACCTTGATGATTATGGTGCAGCTGGAGACTTGTTTGCTCAAAACTTGTTAGCAGTCTAAACCGGGAGTAGAGCTCAATTATACGCAGTGCTTTCACTTTTGTCAGGAATGCATCTCATGACTATTCCCTACAAACACAACAGATAATTCGTTTTTAGCAAAGGGCCCAAACAAAACAGAGGCTGGATTGAAGCAGAGTTTGGGATGC